GGGAAGAAAAAGAAAAACAACAACAAAAAACGCCACACCAGGCTGCACTGCAAGTGCTAAAGCTTTTCTCTGGAATCAGCGGGGCACCGCAGTGACTATGGTTCATGTGCATAAGTCTGATTCATCCTTGAGTCTCACTGAAACTTGGGCAAATAAGAGAAAAGCTCATACACTGGTAGATGATTTCAGATTACAGGAGTGGCACTACTGTTACTGTGTCCTTCACTTCACCAGACATACACCGATAAAGTACAAAAGGAAGAGTAGTGGCCAGACACAGATGTACAACTAAAATATTATCCAAGCTCAGAATCTAAACTTCAGAAGTCTATAAAAAGATTTTAAAAGGAGAATTAAATATACTGGAGAAACTGCACTGCTTTCTAGGCGCAGAAAGAAACCCCACTATTAAAGACACAAGGGTTTAGAGAAATGACTTTTAAAAAAAAAAAAAAAAAAAAACACCCACAAATCAGAACTTTGCAAAGCAAGGAATTCATACTCAGTGCTATGAAACAGTTCAGCAAAAAAGAACATTTTCAACGTGTCAAATAGTTCTTAAAAAAATAATAGCTCAAATTTTGTTATACAAGATATTTTAAACTTCTGTCAAAAGGAGGAAGGAGGGGGGGAAATCAGTTAAGAAATTGCCATAGTTTGTCAATTTTGCTACTTAAACATAGCATAAGCCATTTCAGTCAGTAAATTAATAAAGCTTTGGGAAATACTCGCATGCATTCTAGGCGCCAAAAAACATACCACAAGAAACTAACCATATCATCTTCACCTTCAGTGCCTGGTAATACCCAATGACATCGGAAGATCTCGCCCAAAATGGGATTGTAAGGCTTTTTAGCAACTGACCCTTTTCTTCCTGCATGAAAAGCTGAGAGGTACCATTTAACCACTTGAACCATTCGTTCCTTTGGATCCTTCTGGTCACTAATGCTACGTGAGCCAAAAGAGAGAAAAGAAGGACAGGCAAAATGAAATACAAGCAGGTACCTCAAATACAGGAAAGCTTTTTGGATGTTTAGTTGTTTTACAACTAGAAGTTCGACTACTTTGACTATTTTTCAAGTTTAGATCAAAACCCAAGCAATATTCTTCAAAATTAGCAACTTACTTTTGGCAGCCCACAAGGGCCATAAACAATATCAGAACCAGTTAATGCTCTACTTTAAAAATCAAATACCTGACAAACAAGTCCGGATGTGCAAAAAAGTCAGCATACATTTCCAACAGTGATCTTCTTTCCAGGATAAAAGTTGGAAGAACCACCTGGGTGAAGAAAAACAACTCTTATAGATCAAGATACTTTAACATCCCGCACAAAAGCATTCTCCGTACTAACTGTAAATAGCATACAAAGCACCCAAGGCTTCATGTGCCTGTAAGCTGATTGTGTTCTCAAACTTACCAATGAGTTCTGACATATGCAGGTCAGTTGGCATCTTCTATAAAATCAAAGATTTAAGAGGAACTGTCTCTTGTCTTACATATATTCTAGTGCCACTTAGAGCATATCCAACTACACGACTGAGCTTATCAAAAGCTGTTCTTAATTACAGTAACACTGATTATTTAATTTCATCTATATGTACACTGTCAATTCTCAGTTATAGTCAAAATCTCATTCCATGTAGTCACATCCTCTTATGTGCCTCTTTATCGAGATGAAGGTTAGTCTCTGGCCTACTACTTTTCTTCCCCAACAGCATTCGCAGGTTCTATTCTTGTGGATCTGCCGTCTGCTTCAGTGTGATATAGACCACTGTTGAAAGCAGTGTTGATTGCTGTTGTTGACTTTAAAGTGATGCAGACAAGATGCATGCTCATGATGCTTCTTGGCAGCTTAACTTGAGATCAGTAATTTTCAACTATTCCACGAGTTCCCAAAACAGACATATTTTGGATTAATTCCTATTCAGAACTGCCAGAAACCTTCCGTAGTTTGCTTGTGAGTTGCTGGCTATTTCTCCAGAAAAGTTTTAAGTTTATCTTTTTATTGTCTATTGTGAGTTCCAGACTGGACAGTTAAAGTCATCCACTTAAGGAAACTAATGATAGGATTGATCTCTCCTACTCTTTTTCAATCTGGAATTACTTATTTAAATTTAACCAAGCTTCCTAGAAAGATCAACACCTTCAGAATATTGTTCTTTCAACCCTAAGACAGACACCAACATGAATCATATTCACGAAAAACCCAACTCTTTACTTGCCAGGCCTATATGTAGCATTTTAAAAAACACAAGCAACTTATTCAACAAGATCCCAATTAAGCAAAGCATTTCATTGTATGCTTAATTCCTCCTTTTATTTATGTCTTATTGAATGTCACCATACACTGGGATCTTGTAGATCTTTGTTCTAGGAAGCTAAAGACAGGAGAAACATTACTACTGCATACAGCATTCCTCTTATCCCAGCTTTACAGGCACTCCAAGGATCAGGTTCAAAGAGAACAAACAGCTACTTTCCATAGCAAACTATTTTCCCGAACAGATTTTAGCAGTTCGATATATTTATTCTGCATTCATTTCCCACCCCTCAGTACCAACTCCAATTAAAAAAAAAAAAAACATGCTAAAGAGATTACAGCTTAATTAGCTCTTAGAACAAACATACAGTTAAATTACTTTAACACTGAACTGATTTACACAGAATTCAAGGTTTACTCTCCCTCCCTTCCGCATGTTTACCTTTGTTAGATCCATTCCTAATCTAACTTGTGACAATAGATGCATAATAACACTCTTATGTTCTTCCACTGATTCTCCTTCCCCATCATCATCTCGATCATCAGGAGGATCGAAGAGATCTAGAAAAACCAAATTGCTTTTGTTTTTCTCTAAACCTTCGAAGACAGATTGTATTTAATTAGCATATATCTTAGCTGTCAAAAAGGTCTTATTTATAAAACTAAGGTTTTTAAATCCTACAATTCAACAATCTTCCACTAGTAAAGAAACAGTAGATAAACCATTTTCTATAAATACCTTGTCATATATATATATGATCATACATACATTGACACAGCTTACACACAGATTAACAATCAAGAGCTCCTCACTGAAAGTTCACGCAGTCCACTTACCAGCATCATTTGTCCCATTAGACATGGAAGAATTGAGGGACTCTGTGGTATCCGGACGTTTCAGACTACTTCCTGTGCTGCTCCGAGTCAGGACTGCAGCAGACCCTGAAGAACTAAAGAAGAGTAATAAATTCTCACAATTCACAATGAATTAATTCAGACCAAATTATTATAATTTGATATACATAGACACGGAGTTTACTGATAGACATTAATATGTGTGCTGTATGCTAATTCACAGAAAACTTAAAATGGACTGTGGCTGAACAAGTGGGAAAGTCTAAGATAATAACACCTGAAGGGATAAAACAGCTGACTAATTCCTCTTCGAAATGTGTAGCATCTCTTGAAATTAATTTTCCGATTCATAAAAAAGAAGAGTAAATAGAGATTTTGGGGAAAGACAGTCAACTTCAAAAGATTTCTCTTAGTAAATGTGAGAGGGAATTGGCTATTTCCCAAAGGCTGCAACAAACACAGGTGAAATACACCATGGTCTCAGATTATATCTCTGAGCTGGTGGCTTCCCAAGTTTGGTCTATGTTAGAGTTTTGTCAACATATATACCTGATGGAATGGGAAGGAGTAGAGGAGGAAACCCCCTCACAGACAACTGTGCTGGGGAAAGGGGTAATCTTATTCTGTTACACAGAGTGGCTTTTTTGCCTCCCCTGCCTTTTTTTTTTTTTTTTTTTTTAAAGCCAATGTCTCTTATTCGCTTATTTAGCTTAACTAACTTCTACAAGCAGAGAAGCCACGCCCTTGTTGATAAAAATGTCATTCAGTATGCACTGCATACTTTCAGCTACTTACTCCATACATCGCTTTGGGGAAGAACTGCTCTGATAGAATTCATCAGCATCATAGAACTCATCCTCACTGCTTGAGTAAGAAAAATCTGGGACTGTATTTGGAGACAGGTTGACATGGCTTGGAGAGGTGAGACTGCTGCTAGGTGCTGATGGCCCACTTCCTATGGAGTATTAAAAATTACAGACTTAATAAAACCAAACGAATTCTTTCAAAATCCACCAGTTCTAACTTATGAGTAGGATTGTTCAAATCAATAAAGACTAATGCAAACTCAGAAGGTATGATATCTTACAAAATTAGAAGCAATAATTAGTCAGGTTCACACCGGGTTTCATTTAACAGGTAACAAAAGAGAGGTCACAAGGAAAATCAAGAACACAGAACAACAGTAAAGTGTAAGGACATTATTTTCCCAAAGTTGTCGATTAAAAGCAAAACAACAATATTGAAAACTTGTATAGATTCAGAGTATGCTTTATGTTGGAAGGGATCTCTGGAAGTCATCTGGTCTAGTCCCCACTCAAGGCCCAAACAACTTCAAAATTAGACCAGTTTGTTCAAGATCACATCTAGTCAGGTTTTAAATATCTCTCAAGATGAAGATTCCATAATCTTTCTGGGGAACCAATTCCAAAGTTTGAACTACCTCATTATAAAACCAAAACATTTTCTAAGACCTACTTGGAATTTCCTTTCTTACAACTTGTGTTGATTGCCTCATCCTTTTGCTGTGCATCTCCAAGAGGAGCCCAGTTCTATCTCCTTTATACCCTCCCAAGAGTTGGCAGAAGATTGCAGTAACATCCCTCTTTAGCTCGATCTTCCTAAGGCTGAATAAATCCAGTTCTGTCAGCCTCTAAGTACATCATGGGCCTCAGCTTCCTAATCTTGGTGGTCCATGTCTTTTGACTGTGGAACCCAAAACTATACATAGTACCCAAGATGTGGTCTCACAGATCCCAAGTACAGAGGAACAATCACTTCTCTTAATCTGCTCTTCACATTCTCACTAATCCAGCCCGATATGCAGCAAAACCTTCATCACCACAAGGGCACGCTGCTGACTCATGTTCCACTTGTTGCTCACCAGGACCCCTGGCTCCTCTTCTGCCAAGCTGCAGTTAGCCCCATGCAACAGGGCAGGCTGAGGGCTATGCCCATCGTAGGTGGGTGGAGAACTTCACATTTGCCTTCATCAAACTTCATGAGGTTTCTGTCAGTCCACTTCCCCAGCCAGTCACAGCCCCTCTGAATAGCAGCCCTGTCCTATCCGTTGTTCTCCCCAATTTGGCAAAATCCGTGTCTAGGTTATCTGAAATGTTAAGCAGTATTGGACGCAGTATCAACCCCTGAGAAACACCAGTAGTCACTTGGTTGCCATTTGAACTTCATACAACTGATTGCAAGCCTCAGGCCTGGCAGTCCAGCCAGTTTCCACTCAACTTGTATTCTACTTACCTAAAACATCTTTTTCCAATTTAGCTACAAATATATTTGTGACAAAATCTAATGAATACAGTTTCTAAATTGGATTACATGAATCCTGTCTCACCACTAACTCGCTGTTTTTCAAGAGTCATAGCAATGAAGACAAACCAGGTTAACACTCACACAGTCCTTTTGTGGAAGCCTAAGTCACAACAGAGGTTATTAAGCAAGCTAAGGTATTTACACAAACAACAATCACCAGAAACTAACTAGAAGATGAGATGCATAGAGTAAGACTAAACTAAAAAAAGGAACTTTCTGGCAGGAGAAAAAGCTAGCAGTGGTATCCTTCATCTTTCAGACTGTTTAACACACGTATTAGCGTTCTGGGAAGGAAGGCTAGTAATAAAGTAACAACAAATCATTTACACACAAGCTTAGAAAAAAACTTGGGAGGGAACTGAGAGAGTTTTAGCATGATTGGACAATATAATCAATACAACTGATCAGGAAGTAACAGTCAATGTATACAGATAATAAATATGTTAAGTATGTAGCTATGGTTTTAAAAAAAAAAAATTATAGGAACTGTAAACAGATAATTATAGCAACTTCATATATACTATAGCAACTTTTGCTTCAAAGCATCTATTACAGTTTTAAAAAGGCCAATGAATGCTATTATTTAAGGGGGAGATGAGGGAATCAATGAATTAAAAACCCCAAAGGCCACACACAATTTATTAACCGCAAAGTTCTCGTGCCGATTACTGCAAGATTGCAATGATAGAGACAAGAAAGCAAGCTGGTAATACTCCTATGTATTATGTATACATGGTGGGGAGAAAGAGCAGAATAGTTGTTTTAACACAACACTGAAATATGTGTTGATTAAAAGCAAGATGTAGGCCAATACAATGTTGTCTTAATAGCTAATTACGTTAGGTTACAGACAGTATATATTCAGTTTTGTTTCTTGTACTTCAGTAAGACAGTTACACAGAACTGTACCTGTACTATTTGGTGTTGGAGTCTGATTTCCAAGAGATGCTACTACAGGTCCCACTGGCAAAGATGAGGGTCGCTGCTCTGACTTGCACAACTGAGCAGGTTCTAGGGGATATTTTTGTATGTTAAACCCAAAATTCACATTTAAATATGAGAATTACACTTTCGCTGGGAAGGAGATTCCACATTATTTCACCTCACCTTCAAAAATGAAATCCTTTTCTATAAAAGCCATTCAGACAGAAAAACATGCTTCTGTCATTGTTGCCTAGCTCTTTTTTATTATTAAGCAAAGATGGCATTTTAAAAAATTGCAGTTATTTAGCTAGAAAGCATTTATCTTTTCTGAAAATTATCGTTTCATTTATTTTAAGAAAGTATATTAGAAATGTAAGGTAGTAACTTAGAGCAAGTAAAATGTATCAGCTTATCCACAGAACTGGAGGCAGATTTACCTGATGGCTGAGGAAGCTCCATGCCTCCTCCTCCTTTCCCTTCCTTTGCACCTCTGTGGTGAGTGCCCACAACTAAGTGCAGAGTGCACCTGTATTGCATATGTGACACAGAAGCTATCCACCATTATGCAGCCCCTCCATCTAGACTGCAGTTGCATCCTGCTCTGCTCATGAATATTTCTACTGAGGTTCTTTCTATACACTGTACCTGGAGGTATAACCGCTTGGGAAGGCATTGTGCTGATCACGGACTGTTCCAAAGGACTGGGCTGATATACTGCGTCAACCGGGTTTATAGTGCTCTGAGACAAAAGAAAGAAAAGCACATTTTCTCTCAATTAAGAAAAAAAAAAAAGAACATAGATAGCAAGAACATTGTGAGCACAAGAAATGCCCAAATGCAAGATAGCAAATTCCTGAGAGAAAAAGTAAAACACAAATTGACAGTTGAGGACATGAGAAATACTTTCAAAGTGGTATTTAATTCTTTACACAGACTTTACACTAAACTGAATTTGCTAGATATTTGAATTGTCCTATAAAGAATTCTTATTTCAGGTTCTAGCTTCTGGTATTCCTTCCAAGGTCCATTAATAAATATTGCGTGCAAAGAGTGGAAAGTTAGATGTAAATTATCTGGCAAAAAATTAGGACAGGTAATCTGTATTTTCAAAACCATTTTTTTCATTTTTTCAAAAATTAATTTGTCCAGACCATAGTAAATCAACCCATAAATTAGAACAAGGATCATCAGCATGCTTACAGCCATGAAGTGGCTTTGTTGCCAAAACTCCTTCCAATGCAAGCTGACAGTTTTCAGTGTATCTCCAGTACATTTCAATCTACTTATGAACGTGGGCACTTTGAAAATGAAGCACCAATTCAACTCAACACTCAGAAAAGTCACTGACTTCAGTATATGTTCTTGGCTTTTATACAACAAGTCTCTTGGAAATCTAAATTGCAATGCCTTTTAATCCAAACTAGCATGATTTTGCCTTGCTTCACTGGCCTGTAATTTTGTTATCATCTAAGCATTGTTTGTAATATATGTTTACATACAACAACTAGAACTTCTACGTTGTTCTGGGTTGTTAATTGGATAAAAAGCACATAAACCCCTTTTCCAAACATCTTGCAATTTAAAGCCATTGATCTATGCCAGAACTGTGAAAATCTTTGCCTCAATTTGCTAGGAAATCTTGCTACTGTGCTTAAGTTGATATCAAGCACAGAAAGGTCATACAATGCTGAGTTCTACTTTAAAAAAAATTCTTCTTTTAAAAAAGGTAGATGAGTTTTACCTTTAAATTTAGTCAGTATGTTTATTCCTATCCTCTTTTTAGAACAATATTTAAAACAGAAGAGAGCCTCCAACTGTTCTTCCCTCCTTTTAGTCTATTAATTTCTATTTACATGTAGACTGAGGGAAACAGGGTCATTTTAACCTTCCTCCCATTTTCCTACAAAAGGAAGACTTATTTCTTGCCTCCTTTCCTGGTTAACTGTAATTCTGAACTTTATCCTACACTAAAAATCAGTGAAGCAGGGAAGATTTTTTTTTTTTATAGCACAGGATTTATTTAATTGAAAACAAAACTATTATTCTCTGTTTATCTTTTTAAAATCTCCAGTTTAAAAAAAAAAGGGGCATAAAAATTGCTTTCTACATTTTCATTGGTGTAACTAACTAGTACACAAATAAATAATCCAGTACATATACTGTTACTCCACTGTATTCCAGCATAAAATCAATGTCCCTTACCTAATTGCACAAGCAGTTGAAGTAATGTGTATGCAACACAGGCAGGTCCCTGTCCCACATATTTCACAGTTTAAAATCATGATCCCAGTTTCAGAGTTAAGAAACTTAAAAATCAAGATAGTCCTATGATACACAGGATGCTATTGCTATCTCTATCTCCCCTAGTTTTTAGGGAAACTAATAATATATGAGATACAGAACACTGGTGTGATAAAGGAAAAAAAACCAGTAATGCCCAATTCTCCACACCGCAACATGAACTGGAGTTTCCTGTTCAATAATTTGGGGTATGCCTTCATGGTTTAGAAACAGATGAAGGCAGACCTGAAAGTTTCCTACTCTGAGTTTAATAATGACTTAAAAACAACCATGCAGAAACAAGACCATCATCCCACCATGGTATCAAACATTGATCATATTCCTGCCTAAGTTTAAGGTGAAATCCTGACTTTTAGCCCAAGCTAATGTTGACCTCAATAGCATCAAAATTTCAATCTTCACAATCACTGATGCATCAGTTAATATATTCTTAGAGAAATACTTTCTTTTCTCCCCAGCGTGAGCCCACAGACAATTAGAATAGTGGCTAATCAAATTCAGACTTTACTAAGTTGTAATATCTATATGAAATTTCTGAGTTGCAGATCTAATGTGCATACCACCTCTATCTGTAGTGGTGTCTAGCTGCATAACCTCTCTTTTCCAGGGCACGCAACAGAACCTATTCCATTACACTAAGACCTGAATTACGTGACTCTCCACAGGGTAATCGTTTATCTTATTTACAGTAAGCATGAAACAAAAAAAAAAAAAAAAAAAAAAAAAAAATCTATCTGTGCATCTTTACTCCAAAGTTCACACCAGAAAAATCATACTGCTAAAGCTGTGTATAATGGAAAGACAAATAAAGCTTGGGAATTATTGTAAGCTGTAATGAAAACAAACTGATTTTTAGAGTTACATTTTACTGAAACCAATCTCCTATTAAAAGTATCTGAAATGTACTCAAGTGACAAAAAGAGAACGAAGAAAGAGAAGTCACATGTGACCGAAACCAAAGATGACAGAAGTTACATTAAAAATGCAGAAGTTATATTAAAGAAGAAACATTGCTTAAACAGACATAATACAACTTTGTGTCAAACAAGCAGCACTGTAGAAAAGACAAACTACTTGAAGCACACGGATAGCTGATCTATTTCATACATAAAGATACTTCAGATGGAACACAAAACTATTTCTATCCCAATAATTTCCCTTTCATCTGTTCACATGGCAGATTTTTATCTGAGTGTTCAGTCATAACACTGCCATTTAAGACACTCAGTATAAAACCGATACTGTATTTTCTAAAGGCAAGGGTGTTAGCCAACCTCAGAAGCTAATGACTCAACAGTAATTTTAACAAGACACTTGAAGCAGTGAATTAGAGAAAGGAAGAAGTATGTTGCAAAATGAGTGGAAATTCAGGTCTCTGTTCACATGTTCTGCAGAAATAAAGGGAGATAAAGATTAGATTTAAACTTACTATAAGTCCATCTGCGTGCTTCTCCTCATTATTTTGGTCCTTAAGGAAAAAATGTTAAAAATATCAACATAACAGTCTTGTATGACTTATCAGCTCTGTGTTAAGTGAGAACAGCAAGTTTCTCTCAGGAATGTTTACATTTTCAGCCATAAAATGTTCCTCATCATGTGATACAGTAACTAAACTTAGAAGAAACAATTCTATACATAGTCACTGCACCTCTGAAGATCAGAGTTTTCCAAGGATCTGTCCACGCAAGTTTGAACAATTTTTAAAATATCCTTTCTGCACTGCAGAATACAATTACACTTTACAACGTAGGTTCTTCCCAAATAGCTAAGAGCCCCCCAAAACATGGTCTGCAGCACCAAGGAGTTCCTGAAAACCGAAAGACATGAAGTTCTCAGTTTCTGAAGAAGTGCGATTATCATACAGGTCAAATTTTCAAAAGCACTTTTTGCTTTTGAAAGACAAAAGTGCCTTTATAAGTTAAATGCTTTTAACTTTTGCTTTTTGGTATCCACTAGATTTAAAAATGTTTTTAGATTATTTACAATCTAGGATTTTGGGGTTTTTGCCTAGAAGCATATGTGAAAGAGCAGGCAATGCATGGAATAAAACTATCATCAGGGGAAATTACACTACCAACAGCCAAATTAATGCCAATCTACAGTTAGCATAGTTTTAACACTGTACCAGCAACAGTATAAATTTTACTGAACACTAAGCCAAATCTCTTCACTTCTGCTGCAAAGTTCATATTACCAGTATATCAATCCATAACTTTGTTCAGTGTAAGCCATAAGACTTGTCCACAGAGTATTTCCCCAGATTTCCAGTTTTTAAAGTTAAGAGGAACAAGGGGAAAAAAAAGTAAATAGTGTAAAGAAAGTTGGCACATACTTATGTTTTGATACTTTATACACTCTTCCTTAGCTTATATAGTTGGCAATAGGCTGCTCAAATTTCATGTCTGCTAGTTGACATTTCTTAAGCAAGGCTTTCCATGACAAAAACAACAGTAAGGGCAACAAGTTCCATTGGGTTGCAAACTTAGAAACAAAGAAGAAATAACAACACTGGAGTCCAGTTGTTTTTTTTTTTTTCAACATACAAAATTTCCATGTTATGCTATCATGTCTAAGACCTAAGAAATAAAACACAAAGATGCTGCGTTTGTACTGAAGCTTGCTATCTTATCTCAGTAATGCCCAATCAGCAATGTGGCATGTTGATGAGGTAAGGAAGGCCGAAATACCACAAAACTAGGCAGGCAAGACTGACCAGAAATGATGGAGTGAAAAAGGGAAGGCAAAGATGCAAAACTAAGTATTTAAATTATAAAAGCTACTTCATAAAACATATAATATATATTTCTAAAACTGTAGTTTACCAACTCACTGACAGACCATTACATATATTTTACAACACACATCAGCGAAGCTGGACATCTTCAACTGTCATACATGCAAAGGGGACAACACAAGCCAAATGCCCCACCCACCCATCCCACTTAGTTTATTTTGATTGCGTTTTGATAAGTGATGTATGTATTATAACATATTCCTATTTAGCTGGTATTTACTTCATTATTTTGAAAATGCCTTGGATCACCTCAAGTTCAAGTACCATGATTACACACTTGATTTACCAGTAAGTTTAATGAAAATTTAACTGTCCAAGTCCTAAGGCAGGTTGTTTTAAGAGTCCATGGAACAGCTCAACTTAACACACAATTTAAAAAAAACCAACCAAACAAACAAAAAAAAACCAAACAAAAAACCCCAAAACCACCAAAAAAACAGGTTTGCCTCAATGTACCAAAATCATCCGAATAATAAATGGCTGTGTGTTTGAAACAGAGAGATGTTCTGAGTATATAGAGAAGTGATAACAATTTTCAAGCTATGCAACCAACCAGAAGGTAATTGTGAAGTCTGTCTCCTAATGAGAAAGGCACTGTAGAAGTAAAAATGGGGGCAGGGGCGGTGTTAATATGATTTATTTTCAGCAGTGTAAGTCAGCAGCCATACTTGCCTTACAGCTTTGGGAAAAAAACTTGCAGAATCTTAAAAGGTTCTATACTGGAGAACAGAAAGCTATCAGTCAGACACAATACATTTTTACATATATAACGCTTCATACACATGCAACTTACAGAACTGTAAAAACAAACCAAAACCCCCTGCATTCTTAATTTCCTACAGTAGTAAGAAATCAGGATACCAACACAGTTTATGGAAAAGGGGGCAAGGGGTGGGGGGGTGCATGTAGTCAGCAAGTACAGTTGCCTAAGATAGAGAGAGAGGAAGAAGATGAAGAGATGAAGCAGAATAAAGGTTATTAAAATAGCAGGAGGATTTATAGAGGGTATTTTTCACTACATGTGGATCAACTTCTTCCAATTAGCTGTGCATAAACCACTCATTTAAACCACCTTATCTTCAATAGCTCTACAAGAGCTTTAGATATGGTTAGGCAAAAAAACCAAACAAAAAACCCCCACTCCCCAATGGATAAACCCATCTATTTACACTGGTTAATATTTACTGTTATGGAAAAAAGGACTTCAAGGTCTGATTTAGTGTAACAGAAAGCAAGCCTTAGCATCTTTGGGGGACCCAAATTCCACCTACCTTTACGCTTATATGGTAGTTGGAGAAGTAAAGCTCTGAACCTGATCAAAAATGACTGCAACTGCCACTACAAGTTCAGTTTTGTCCATTATCAGCAAACCACCTATCCAACTTCAAAATATGCTTAGCATCAGCGCAAGATAAGCAGTCATATTTGTCTACCCCCCAATAAACTTACCCATAGCAGAAACAGAATTTGATATTAAATAGAAACAAGAAAGCTAAGTCAGCCACCTATTACCAGCTTTGATCAAGAACCTGAAAAGCAGATTATAGCTCTGCTCTTTCAGATTTGCTAACTGCATAGCAGAGCTTTTTAAAAAAGAGCAAAATTTCATGGGAATTAAACCTCTGTGAAAATAACAACTATTAAACACATTGATATAGTAATTAACAAAAAATGAACAAGTCATTTGTTGCACACAGTTTCTCCAACAGCTACCTTAATACAGCAAGTCACATATGGCTGTGAAAGAAAACTAGCGTACTGCCATCTAACCTATCTACAATTGCCTCGACCAAATCCCCAAAGAATGACACATAGTCTACTGGTTTCACTCTACTAAAACAATTCTAAATATACCCAGTACTTAATAACAGCAAATTATTAAGTGCTGACAAGGCTTTTCTTGGTATCACTACAGTGGAGGATTCAAACAGTACCACTGTATGTTAAATAAAGACTGTTCTAGCTCTAGATTCATGTGGCACAAAACTATTTAAATGTACCCTACTACTTATAAAATATTTTTGGTTTTGTATGAACCTGTTGACTAAGAAACCTTTTCTTCAGAATTTTTAAGCTACTGATATGAAATTTGAATTTCACAAAATATGCACTGATCCTTTTAGTGAATGACTTCTGATCCTGCAAGGTTCTAAATACTTCAACTTTCACTGACCTCAAAATTTTGTACAATGTATCTGGCATCTAGAATGAAGACAAACAGCCGTATTGTATTTGAAAGCTACAGAAAAAAAAGTTGATCTAGACTATAGAAAAAAAAAAATTGAAGAGCCTATGCCTATTACTGAATAAATCAGAATGTGTTCTGATTAAATTCAGCCTTAAATTCTGAAAATACCATAAATTAATTTATTTGCAAAACAGTCTTCCTTCACTTTGGCCGCAAGACATAAATCAGCAGCTCATAATTATATATCCTGAATACAGTATGTGAAGGCCTGTAAGAGCACAACTTGCCAAAAAAAACCCCACTCCAATTCTCACTAAACTTTAAAAAGTAACAAAACATTTAAGTGAAAAGCATAAGTGCATTATCCGTATTCAATTCTCAAATAATACAATCCGTACTTCAAGAAGTTCCAACATCATCATGAACTTCAGATCTATTAAAAACCCTGCCAAACCAGCTTAGATTATTAACATCACAATTTTCCCTTTTTCTATTTATGTTAGTCTCATTCTTAAATGAAACACAAAGAAGAGTTTTGTTAAGTTTCTATTCTGTCACCCTTATGTTTGTTGAAGTTCTTATTTAGTCTAATAGGAAACTCTGAAAAAAAAAGTTTATCTCAAAAGAAAAGCTTTCTCATCAACACGACTGTTACCACAAACATTAACAGGACTGTCTGCTATGGAACTCAATATTTCAGAAACTTCATTAAAATAGTAGCATAAATCAACTTATACCAATTTTTTTATATATATATCCTAGATCATATAGAAGGCACTTTTAGATTTCAACTGTTTTCACAGATTAATGCTGTATAATTAAAATTCAAAATAGTTTATAGTGTACTTACTTTAGCAATTTGTAGCAACACAATGCAGTGTTTTATTGATTCTACCATGCTCTAGGAAAACAAAAATGACAGAAAAAAACCAACTTGTATTACTATCCTATAATATTTTGTATTTACAGGTATTTTTATTAGTTACGCAGAATATTAACTGAAATACTGGGTGAGAACTAAATGGACACTCACTTCTGTAGAACCCCTACTTTCCCTTCCCCGCTTTTTTTTTCCAGAGACAAAAGCATAGCAGTAGAAAGAAGTTTCCAAAAGCCACATACAACACAAGTTGTCAGGGTGAAATGGAGGTCAGCTTCAAACTTTCAGAGCCCTGCAAGCAGGTAAGCTGTCAAGCGAGAAGAGGCTGAGAGAGCTGGGATTGTTTAATCTGAAGAAGAAAAGGCTCAGGGGGGCCTTATCAATGGGCATCAATATCTGATTGGGATGGCAGGGCGTAAAGAAGACGGAGCTAGACTCATCTCAGTGGTGCCCAGTGACAGGACAACAGGCAACGTCCACAAATCAAACTACAGGAAATTCACCTTAAACGTAAGAAAACACTTTTTTACTCTAGGGATGATCAAACTCTGGAACAGGTTTCCCAGAGAGGTTGTAGAGCCTCCATCCTTGGAGTTACTCAAAACTCAACTAGATTTGGTCCTGGGCAACCTGCTCTAGCTGACCGTGCTCTGAGCATGGGGTTGGACCACAGTCTTTCACAGGTCCTTTCCAATCTCAACTATTCTATGATTTTATGATTCTAAGGTGCTAGACATAAATCTGAATACACCACTAGAACGAGGCTGCCTCTGGCATCGCACTGTTAGACCTAATATGGATTCCCGCTTTTCTGTAAAAAGCTTTAAAAACCTTCCCAAGAAAATAAGGTGAATTTCAGAATCTATATATAATAGATATAAAAATTAAAGAAACTTACACTGGTTGTTTCTTTGAGACTTTCAATTTTCTGTAAAAGAAAAATCAAAATAGTGTGGTTAAAGAAAGAATTTCCAGCATCTAGTTTGACCTAAATATTGTACAAACACTATATTTTAATCTTAAATTGGGGGAGGAAAAAAAACAACGAACATGTTAAAGATTATTTCTGTATATAGACACAATTTTCATTTTGTAATTGACAAGACAGAAATCAAACTGATAATTAAAGCTTAAAGAGACAAGGTTAGGAATTTCTGAGCAGTGACATACATATTTACCCATCAAAGTCTACACTTCAGTTTTGCATAACATCAACAAAAAAGAAATGCAGTATGAAGATTCACTCTAAGTTCAATTTCTATCCTTATATAGCGTACTGAATGGTGACACATTCCAACAATCAATATTACTTGAAATTACCATCATTCAAGTATAATAAACATACGCAGTTAAGCACAGTTTAAAAAAATCACAGAAAATAACAGTGCACACATGTTCTTGCTCTTTCTAAGCCGCCAGTAAAAGTGCATCTGGAAATCTGCCTACTTAATTTTATCTAGAAACACTGGTTCATAAAGATTTCCTGTGTGGAATTGCACTTCAGGCATGCAAAAGGCATCTGCATGCCATTTTACACATAAGCATGACCTATCTAAGCAGCATATGCATCCTGTTGATGTCCTTGGCTCTGTCTGCAGAAGGCAAAATTATTAGATTGGACTCAGCACTGAACCTCTACTAATTCAATTACAGGACCTCTTTGTTTTGATTAATATGAGTGTCTCATGTGACTTGAGTCACAGTCTTTTTGATTCTTGAATAATCAAAGTGCGTAAAGGAACTTCCCTCCCCGCCCTCCCCCAGCACTGCAAGCCAACTTCTACACCATAAGAGAGCAACATGCATCCATAAATCTACAGGAATGAATAGTCTCAGCTCGCGGATTTTAAAAAAAAAAAAAAAAA